ATTTATATTATATAAGCTAGGATACATTCTTAAGAAACATTCTTGAGTTAATTTAGGTAGCTCTACTAACTACTTGTTCTGGTTTTCTTTCTTTTCTGGGGACTAAGTGGAGTCATAAAGTCTTCTTGAAGAGGCATTCAGAATCACACTGCTAAGCTTAACCTCTCAAATATTCAGATGCCAAATGAAGAAAATTGGAAGTTCTCTCCTTCCTTTCCTTTGTATCTCTGCCTTCATGTATGGCTACCAAATAGGCTGGATGGGAAAGAAGTGTCCAACAAACTGGCAAATAAGAGGACCATGAGACTTCCCACATATGGCCTTTAATTACTGATCAATTAAATTGCATGAGAAGTAATTCAAAGGGGAAAATTCAAAACAAAGCTATAGTAACAAAATTTTTAAAGGGATTAACTGGGCTGGGCATGGTGACTCATGCCTGTAATCCTAGCACTGAGGATACCACCTGACCAAGGCAGGAGGATTGCTTTGGGCCAGGAGTTCGAGACCAGCCTGAGCAGCATTGCAAGATCCCATCTCTACAAAAAAATAGAAAAATTAGCTGGGCATGGTGGCAAGTGCCTATAGTCACAGCTACTCTGGAGGCTGAGGCAGGAGGATTGCCTGAGCCCAGGAGTTTGAGGTTGCAGTGAGCTATGCTGACACCACTGCACTCTAGTCCAGGCAACAGAGCGAGATCCTATCTCTGGAAAAAGAAAAAAAGGGATGAATCTGTCTTATGGAGGGAGGTTCAAAATCAGGTCTCTGAGACTAATACTTAATTCTGACAATCAAGACTTCTTTTAGTCTGCACTTCATTCACTTATGTCAACCCTTTCTCAATCTAGCTATCCCACCCTATCCAATTCATAAGAGAAAGGAGAGAATAGTTTTCGCCTCTTCAGACCATGGACCCACAGCCCATCTGGAGAAGAAGATAGGAGCTTTTGCCATGAGAAGCCTTATCCTAGTTCAAATTTCCCTTTAAGACTCATGCTAGGGTATAAAAAGTTAAAAAAAAGATTTCAAAGATCTCATCTCTGCCTTTGAGAAATTCCAGAAAAGAATAAAATTAATTATTACCATATAGTAAATGTCTTAGTAAAGACATTAGCAGGATGAAATGGGAGCACAGTGGACAGATAATCAAATCAAGCTACATTCCAATTTTTCATCTAAATAAGTGAAAAAAGCTCTGAGTCTGAAAAGGACACTTAATTCCAACCTTCCTTCTTTGTGTCTTTTGAAGTTAAGTTAAATCCAATTAAAAGGGCTGACATTCCCCCAAAGGAAGAAACACATTAGTGTTTTAATCAACAAAAAGAGGTGATAAATAATGGAAGAAAGACAAAAATCATGAATTTTAAATGTCTTTCCCCCATACCAGTCCCTCACGGTTTCCTGCTTTGTGTTTTTTAACCTGGGCAAGTAACTTCACACTCTTTGCTTAATTTGCCTTGACTCTCAAATCAGGAAAATATTATCCTCCATGCCAAATAATAGGGTTGGAAAGGATGACTGATCAAGGTTCCTCCCATTCAACTCTACAATCTGGATATTTCCAGATCCAAAAAGTCAGGCAGGAATCTTCCAAGGAAGGGGATGGGGATAGGACCTAGGGTCTGGGGAGCAAAGGACAGTGAAGAAGGCCGAAGCCAGTTCTCACCGAGAGGATCTTATCACCCTCCTGGAGCCGCCCATCCAGGGCCGCAGCCCCATTCTCTTTGATGCGGCTGACGTAGATGCCACTGTCATTGGAGACATACTGTTGATCTGTCCCACCGACGATGTTGAAGCCCAGCCCTGAGAAAATCATGGAGGAGCAAAAGAGATGGGGGTGAAGAAGAAAGAAAGGGATTAGAGAAGGATTAGAGAAAGAGAGGAAAGGCCTAGTGGGGAAAAGAGGCTGGCAAGTCAGACTGTGATATAGCTGGTGAAGAGCCATGAGCAAGGTCAGTAATATCACCAACAGAGGTCAAGAGTACTCAGAGTTGCCCACTTAGATGAGGCAGGACTAAAAATACAAACACAGTGAACAACATGGTTTGCTGAATATATAAAGAAAGATATATACAGAACTTAGTAAAGAATAATGATGATTCCTGTAAGATGTAAGTTCTACTCACATTTGATTATGATTCTGTTGATGGCATTCAGAGGACCCATTTCCTGACATTCCTGATGTCAGGAATGTAACAGTGTTGGCTGTGTTCTTGAAAAGAAGCTATGCTTTTTAACCAATTATCAAATGAACTCCTAATTTAGTGGAAAAGAGATTCCTAACCATACTTTCTCTTCCATATTTTCTTCTCCCAAGCTCCTAAAGAGTTTATGGATGGTAGTGTTTCAGAAGACGTGGTCTTGGGAGTTTCACTTATTTTTTGTATTTTGGGTTGGGGGGGGCAGTGGTCTAGGTGTTGGCAGGAAACCTCAGAACCAGAAAGGTTCTGCTACTATGCAGTATGACTAAGTCACCAAATTCACTCTTCCTTCCTTTTCTATCTCAAGTACAAACAACCGCATTCAGGTTGAACATCTCTTATCCAAAATGCTTAGGACCAGATATGTTTTGGATTTTGAATTTTTTCAGATTTTGGAATATTTGAATTATATTAATACTTACCAGTTGAACATCCCTAATCCAAAAATCCAAAATCTGAAATGATCCAATGAGCATTTCCTTTGAGCATCATTTTGGTGGTCAGTTTTGGAGTTTAAAGCATTTTGGATTTCAGATTTTTGGATCAGGGACATTCAACCTATACGTAGGTACCGTGATAAACAAGTTTTATTCAAGAAGAAAAAAATGACTACCTGTTGATTAGCAACTCCCCATTTCCTCTCTCCCAAGTCGCTGACAACCGCAATTCTCTTCTTTGTTTCTTTGAATTTGAATATTTTAGATGGGCATAAAATTTCAGTTGTTCAAGATAAATAGGTTCTAGAGATGTGCTGTACAACATTGTGCCTATAGTGCCTAAACTGGTATTGTATACTTAAAAATCTGTTAAGAGGGTAGATCTAAGTTAAATGTTCTTACCACAATAAAATATTAAGAGAAAGAAAGAAAACAAGAAAGCAAGCTGACTACCAAAGTGCTATTTCCATGGACCAACGACTAAGCTGTGGAAAGAATTTCACTTTACAGAAACCATTGTTATGGTTACTTATG